TTTGGTTACGAAGGCACTAAAGCCACTGACACTATCAGGCATCCCCACAAGTTTGAGGCAAATGAAAGGTAAGCTCCACAGTGAACGAGTTTTTCCTTCTATTCACAAGAACTAGGCAAGAAACGTATTGTTTTCACTCGGCCACAGAGGCATTTACACCTCAAAACTGAGGAGTTCCTTCATCAAGATCCACCTCACAGATTTTATGCACTTTCAATAAGGGAACATACCCGGGCATACTTTAATTTACTGGGCAACTGTTCATTTACCCGGAATCTATATGTATTGAAGGTATAACGAAGATAAAAGATAATTATCAGAGGGCCAAGTTAGACTTGCGAAATCCGCAATAGAATTTTGGCCCTCCTGCAACTGTGTAGAGTTCAAAGAGCTTGGGAAAAAGGTTTATGATATTATTTGAGCTGGCAAAACACCGGAAAGGTGAAAGAAATTAGTTTATAGGAAATGCACTCCAACGCTAATCACAGTATTGTGTTAGAGTATCGGGTGGCAGGACTTTTTTCTACTCTGACATACTTTATTGATGTGCACGAACTGCACGATTCACATAGTTGATCATACGTTCAGCTCAAGCTGACGACAATAATGAGGAGAACTGTGTTGACAAACAACTGAGGGCTGATATCGCTGAAGCTGTCAAGGATGCTGAGGATTCTTGCCAGGTGAGTAATTGAAAACTTGCTCCCATTTTTTTCGGGAAGCACATTTCCCAGAAGAGAACATTAATGACCTCTCCTTGAACCAATGACTCAACCTCACTGATTGGATCACGTTCCTATCAGTGAGGTCGAGAATTTACCCCCAGCACGTCTACCTCCTGGTAATACTTGTTAGGTGTGTGCAAGGAAGCCCACAGCCCAGCCCATAGATCGTGCAGCTTCCATCATCAGACTAAGGCTACAGATTCATTTTCATAACATCGTTCAGGGACACGTCAATGCGCTCGCTAGCAAACTGAATCGTCCTGGATGGGCCATGAACTGTGTTACTCGATCGACCGGGGGTTTCTCTATTGGCTTCTTCTCGAGGGTTCGTAATCTTTTCCCTAAATCTTTTTGATTTTGTCGATCTTACACCACGCCGATTTTATGCATCTGTAAAGTTTTAACTACGTCAATAGTTCACGCAACTCTTTTGACTTGGCTAAACGTTGACCCTAACTCTTTATCTTCGAAAGAATACAAATGGGTGCGTCCATCTTCCATTCACATGGGGCGTTTAGCCTGGGGAAGTGTCACAATCTGGTACTGGCGTATCGTGGTTCATTCAAACAAGCTTAATTTTTTAGGGAGAATTTAGAATGGAGGACGAAATGTAGAATTTGTGGGCGTTCAATTTGTATCGCTTTTGCACTCTTCCCATGTCTCTCATACTGTCAAATAAGAAAGTAATCACTTTGTATTCTAGGACGAGAACTTCTGCCGCTACGATACCGTCAAGGGTGGAAAGGTCTACACTCTCACTCTGGCGAAACTCGACGAGTCGGAGCCGCAGCCAGCGCCAGAGGAGTGAAAAACTCTGTCAATAAAGCATTCTGAATCACGTAGTCTTGAACAATGTAGCATTATAGTCTCTAAGTCACACAACCTAAACGAAGATATGAAGAGAGGGGTTCTTTTTGACAAAGCGGTTCTCTCAAAAGCCTTTCATTCTCTTAGTCGGAAAAGATTCTCGTCAATGTGAAAGCAGCTTGGAATTTGCTTTTCTTTCCTTTTCAATACAACCAGCTTTTCACAATTGTATGTACCACGACTATTGACTATTAGCTAAAATTTGTATGAGAATAAACAGGGAAATTGTGGATGACTTTTCTGCAGGAAGTCTTAAGAATTTGGTGCGATGAACTCACAAAGCCAGCGAATACCTCCAAGTATACCCTCAGCTTTAACCCAAGCAGCATGCAACTACTTAGTCTATCCAGTAAGACCCTCACAGTGCCATCAGTGATTTTTAGACATCACTAATAAATTAGGTTCCTCGGAGTACGCTGAAGAACTTTAATTTCTGCCTATCACCTCCAAAACAACACTTCATACTCGAACACTCCGACTTCTCGTTCTTGCGCTTCGTTTTTGAGCACTGGATAATCGAATGAATTGTAGATTATTCATTTATATACATTCGAACATGAAAGATAAAGTGTTCAGGCGCTGAAAAATCCCGTTCTAGGAGCTTTCGGTAGCGCTGTCTAGTTCTAGTAAGGGGGAGGGGAGGGGGTGGGGTGGTAGAATGAGTACGAAATGTGGACCTCATGAAGTAGCATTGCATCATCAAAATGCTATGATGGTATGAACCGGTGAGCTGACTCCTTTTCAGAACTTGAAAAAATGAGAATGAATTACGAACACAGTGAGGTAGTTGACCGGGACTAGTTACTGCTAGACTGGTCACAAATTACCATGCCCGTGAAAGATAGTTCATCACGAAACCACCTAAGGCAGCGAAACGTCCCTAGAACGCCATAAGACTTTATCTTTCATGTTTGAATATATCTAAATAAGCAATCTACGATTCAATCGATTATCCAGTGCTCAAAAACGAACCCCAAGAAGGAAAAGTCAGCCTGTTCGAGTATTGGAGCGCTGTTTTGTGGTGATAGGCAGAAATTGAAGTTTTCCAGCGCACTCCAAGGAACCTAATTTATTAGTGATGTCCAAAAATGATATATGCACTCCTTTGCTGGCTCAGGTACATGTCACTGGTGGCACTGTGGGGGTCTCATTGGATGGACCGTGTTTGTTGTATGGGGCTTGGGTCAAAGCAGAGGGTATGTTTTGAGATGGCTAAAAAGATGGCCTTTGCTTTTCGGTTCGTGAGAGATGCCTCTAGATTTTGAGAAACGTACTGTTTTGAGTTTTGGATCGATAATCGCCTACGCCAACTAAGCCTTCCATCCCGCCAGGGTCGGTAAAGTGGTACCAGACTTGTCTGGAAGGATAAAAACACTGATTTGTACATTGGCTGGCCACCACAAGTCATTTTATATGCCACATACGCATTCGATCCGCCACGATGATTTCAAATGGAAGTTGATTGAGGGGCGTATACCCCAGAGAGGATTGAACAACGCTCGGTGATTTTCTCCTTTTATCCTTTATATTGATCAGTTCACACAGTAAATTGTGCTAATCTTGTTAGGATTCACGAGATTTATCGATATGTCTAAGATTGATTGATCATACCATAAATGTGCAAGGACGAACACCTGGAAACTAAACGATAAAGAGGCAATTTCAATGGACTACACAGTCACACTGTTACGAATTCAGCAACAGGAAAGCCAAAATAGACGGAAGTACAGTACTCTTGAGTAGTACAGGAAAATCTTACGATCTCTATCAAGTCAGCAGTCGGCTACTCGTGTTGCGCAGCTCTTATGTTAGATATACCATCAGTTTACCAAGAGTCCGCTGTTAACTATGCCCGTAGTATAGCGATCTAAGTGACATATAAACATTATTTCGAAATAGAAATCCTCAGCAATTGTTGGAATTGCAAAGGGATATCCTTCACTGGAACTGCTTCCAAAAATGCTCCTGTTACGAATGGAATTTACTGCTGGACTGGTTATCCGGCACAGTGTGTGGCAAATGCTGCAGCATCTACTTTCCCCATTACAATGCTCACCCATATTTTGTAAGGAAACCGGGCAAAAACACGAAAGCATAAAAATGTTCTGGCACTTTCTGTATCCACTAGATCTATCATCAACGTGCAACCGTTTGCTTCTATTACTATCGAGCCCTTAAAAAATGTGAAGTTGTATTAATATAACAGAAGTTCGCTGCATTTGCCAGTTCTTTGCTTCCGCGGTGTTTCTGTTGAATTGTCATTTACCAGTTACTATATAAATAGTAACATGTAGTCGATAGTGATGGTACACTTGTGACCAGGTGGTTGTATATATTGAAAATGGGAAAAAATTCAAAGCCTAAAGTTTTAGGATTCATCCCCGATTAATGGCGGAGTTGGTGTAGTGGCAAGTGGCGCACTATGCCCCACGCACGGCAGGGGTTCGAATCCTGGATCGATAACCAACCAGATCAACCAAGCCTTTTACCTCCAAGAGATCGGCTATTTGGTACCAGACTTGTCTTGGAAGATCAAAGCACTGCCTCGTACATCGGCAAGTCATTGTATAGGCCACATACGCACTCATTACTCCACTACGATTGGAAGTCGAGTACGGGAGAGCACCCCTCAGACGGGATTGATTAACGCTTGGAACCTTTATCCTTTATTTCCGACTAATAAAGTGAAAAGCTTTCGAGAGAAGAGCTTTGTCAAGGCGAATCGCCACTGCAAAAGTAAGTCTGGAATGGAAAAGTTCGAAAACTGTGGAAAACTAAACGAGAGGTTCACAGCGGCAAGATAGCCATGGGCTTGCAATGCAGCTATCTTCAGACAATGAAGTCAAACTCTTCATGTTCTCGTTCGAGGTGTGTGGCTTAGTGACTAATATGTCACATTGAAAACAAGGTTGTTTAGAATTGACAGAGTTTTTCACTCCTTCGGTCCTGGCTTCGATTTGTCGAGTTCCGCAAGAGTAAGAGTGTAGATCTTTCCACCCTTGACGGCATCATAGCGGCAGAAGTTCTTATCCTGAAATACAAATTCCTTCTTTGTCTCGCAGTATAAGAAAAGTGGGAATACAATGAAGAAACCAGCACAAGTGAGCACCCACAAAATTCACAACCGGGACAGTTCTGGATCTGCTTGAGAACGGTGATTACGTGAGAAATGTGATACTTATTTGAATAAACTAAGTTAACACCATTTGGTGGTACTTCTCCCGGGTAATCTCCTGAGGAACATGAATTATTTATTAGTATTTTGTCGTAAGGTGAAATAGGGATCAACCTCAAGCCAAGAGGAAGGAGTTGCGTGAGCTGTCGGCGTGCTTGAAATCGGCATAACAGAGTGTCAGATCGACAAAATCAAAAAGAGATATAGGGAAAGTGCATTACGAACCTTTGCGAAAAAGAACAGAGAGAAACTCTTGGGGGATCGAGCAACACAGTTCATTGCCCATCCAGGTCGATTTAGTTTGCTGGCGAGCGCATTGACGAGTCCCTGAACGATGTTATGAAAATGAATCTGAAACCTTAGTCCCATGGTGGAAGCTGCACGATCTTTTGTTGGTACAGGCCTGTCAGATTTGCCATGCACGTTGTGGGCTTCCCTGCACACACCTAACAAGTATTACAAGGAGGCACGTGCTGGGGTAAATTCTCGACCTCACAGATAGGAACCTGACCTTATCAGTGAGGTCGAGTCAGTAGTTTAAGGAGAGGTCGTAAATGTCCTTATCTGGGAAATGTGCTTCCCAATGAATGGGAGCAACTTTTCAATTACTAACCTGGCAAGAATCCTCAGCATCCTTAACATCTTCAGCGATATCAGCCCTCAGTTGTTTGTCAACACAGTTCTTCTCATTATTGTCGTCAGCTTGGGCTGGAGATATAAACAACTATGTGAATCAGCAGTTCACTCAACAATGCATTAATAAAGTATTGTCAGTGTAGAGCAAACTTCTGCCACCCAAAACCTTCCACAGTGCCGGGGTCGCAAGTGGCCGATACGGACTTGGAAAGTACTGGGAAAAGCGGGAAGAACTGTTTCGAATTCTTCCCGCTCCTTCCAGTTGCACAACTTCCGCCCTTCCTGCAGAATTTGCAAGTTGGCTTGTCCTTCTGATGCTTATCTTTTATCTTTATCAAACATTCAATACATATAGTATGAGATTCCGAAGGATTGGTGCGGTTGACTAGAAGTGTTCGGGCATGTCCCCCCACCGAAGCGCATGAAAAGTGTGTGGGTGTGAACACTTCTGTGGCCAGATGAGAACAGTACGTTTCATTCCTAACCCTTGTGAACATCACGAAAAACCCGTTCAACGTTGAGCTTACCTTACATTTGTCTCAAACTTGTGGGGCTGCCTGATTGTGTCAGTGGTCTTACAGGCTCCACAGCAAAAGGTCTCTGGAGATCCACCTGAATTGCGCTCCACTCGAATTTTGATATTTCTCGAGTTCTACTAGTCTTGTATAAGAAGTGTTTGCTGCAAGTAGACAAAATCTCACAGCAGGTAAGCGGGTAAAATCCAAAGCCTCACCCTGAGTTTCTGAAGTGTTGTGTTGTCCTTTGAGACCTCGAAGCAGTTGTACTTAGGATTCAGGTCTTCCCCTCCATGAGCATAGGCGGCGACGGAGGTGTCGAGAGCGAACAACCAAGTACCGGCTGTCGTTTCTGAGTCGCAGGCTGAAGTGAAGACAGGAATCAGGGTGCATTACATTCTCAAATAGGAAGTAACAAAACTTTTTTTGCATAGGATTCCTTCGGAGTAGCTGTTCAGATATCCGGGAATAGTCAANTTGGGATAGTTCGTCTCAACTTTTATGTGATCGACAATAACAGCAGTACTTACTGGTTGCAGCAGCGAAACCAACACAGAGAGCAAAGAGCGTTTCCTTGTACATCTGAAATTGAGATTTGCATTGTGTGGTGAGGGAATTCGAGTACTCTAATAACGACAGGTACGGTTGCAAGTGAAGTTACTCATTTCTGTTCATCTAATATAGCGAATTTGGTTGTCAGCTGATAAACAAAGTATTAATAATCGTTGGAAATTCCACTTGCTTTACTAAGTTTTTGCATATTATTATGATGAACGGAGAGGTGTAGTGATGACTCAGGCATCCTTAGCGTTCCGCATTATTCCTCTACTTCAAGCTACTTCGAGATTTTGAATATATACAACATTGAAGAGAATAATCAAAAGCAAGGAATAGCGAGCGAGTGAAATAAATCGAATCGGTATCGAATGCAGCATTCAAAGGGCGAATTTGATGGCAAATTCTGGAGAACGTGCAGCTCTTTTTCCTACAGCAAATCAGGTGGCAGTTAGGAAGCCAGTTATCTCGTTGTGGCTATTATTTAGACCAGAAGGGCGCCATGATAGAGGAAGCCACACACATGGTAAACCACAAACCTGCGGCGGTTGGGTTACAAGTTCCGTTGCAAGTACTGCCGTTAAACAGCTCTGAAAGTTCCTTGAAAACATGACAGGAGTCCTTTCTGTGCTCGTTTAAGATTAAAAAGAAAATACTCGGTACCGTAGAACAGATCTCAGAAATTCAGGAATCACAAGTGGAGCTGAAAAGACTGCTATTCGGGTGGACAACAATCTCTGATTATTCCTACGGTAGAGTCATGAGATTTTGGATTACTGGATGCTGTTGTTGTTTAACTCCTGAGAGGACGGGAGAGTAGATTCTCTGTAGAACTGTGGAGGAGATTTCGCCCTCCGTTCAGCTTCCCGGCGCTGAGGCTACCAGAGGAAGGTTAGCAAGGGTGAATGCTGCAATATTGCAGCAGAGAATTTTATATACTTGAGGGAAACAAGAAGATTAGTATAGTGACTTGAGCGTTATCGTTGTCAAATCCGGATCGACACTCGTAGTAATTGATGACTCTTCCCTATCTGATCACACGTCCTGTTAAGAACTTTGACATAGCAGAGGAAATCCGGATGCTTGGCAATGTTTACTGGCAAGTGGAGCTGATAAAAAGTACAGCCCAACGATCGAATCAGTTATTGGCGCTACAGTACCCCAGTTGTTTTTGCGGGAATGGAAAAAAGCAGTTTTTCGTTTTGAGTGGCTCCTTCGCCGGAATTTTCGTTTATTTTGTTGAAGTAACTTGAAATTCTGCAGGAACGATGACCAAACTGCCATATTATTTTTTATAGACCATATGATATAAATTCGAGAATCGCTCTACAATTTTATGGATATATTTTTCAAGTGCGAGCTAGGAGGATGTGTAGAAGCCTCGTAGCTACTGCATTGAATAAGAACTATAGAACAAAAATAACCTCAGTAAACTGAGCCTCACTCAGATCCCTGTTGCGATTACAGTTCACGCTACAGAAACGCTGTCTGCGTTCGTTCGTGAACCCATTGGACTACTATTTTCTGTACTGTCGATGGACGCAGCTCGATAAGATGAAGCCTTTATTGAGGCATGCAAAAGCAATAATATTACATCAAACAGGAAGGCTTATATACTCCGCAAAGGAATTCAGGCTCTCTTCTATTTAAGTAATATTTCTTAGAAAATGAGAGAATATGAAGTATGTTTTGGTGGGTGAATAATCCCTTCGTTCGAGTGATTCATGTCGAAATTAGCTAGAAAGCCAAAAACATGGTTCTGGTACAGAAAACTATTTTCATGAATTTCTTCTGACAAGACAGGGGGTCTTTAATTGGACGGTTTTGGGATGATGTTTACTATTTGTTAGCGCTTGGTATGTTGTTTTCTCCGTAGGTAGAGATAAAGTCATTGGGGTTAATTACCCTCGTAGTAATGATGCGCCCCTCATTCGAATTTCATTCAGAATCACAGTGGCAATTTGAGTACTTGTGTGACCTGTGACTTGACTTGTGGAGGACAGTCAATGCCATGTCAGTGCTTTTACCCTCTCAGACGAGTCTGGTTAAAATTATCTGATACAGGAAGGTTGGAGGACTTGATTGGCCTAGGCGATCTCCTTACTGTTTTTTCTCAACACAGCTGTTGAATACCTTCTACAAAGTATTATTCTACGAATTTATTTTCAAACGCTCCGGAAACTGATTGTAGCATTAACTGCCAAAGAATTATCTTCCAAAGAGGTTTTTTCAAAGTG